TGCCGGGAGGTCTGGCTGTGTTGGGATCCTGGGCGGGTTGCCCAGCCTCTCTAAGCTTCATCCCTCACCCCGAGCCTTGCAGCTGGTCTTGGGGAGCCCCTGGTGGGAATTGCACATGAACGTTCCAGCCATCTGAGATCCCCCCTTGGGATGAGTTAGTTGGAGGAGAAGGTCTCTGGAAGCCTCGGAGAGAAACGGGTTCTGAAATCCAGGCCTCCACTGTCCTTTTTTTTCGCTTAACCCACCAGCTCTCGGTTGTCTGCCATATCCTTGGAGGTGGAGATAGGATTTGTTCATTCCCGGGGGTCTGCACGAGGTTGGGGTTAGGATCAGCAAGCGAGCATCTGCTTCCCTTGACCTCAGCCTCGGCCTCTGCCACCCCATCTTTCCGGAGTGAGTGCTGGTTTCGTGGTTGGAAAACGAGGGAGCTGATGGCTGCCATCTCCCCAGGGCAGATGGAAAGAGTGGCACCTGTGGGCTGGCCGCACGCAACAGCTGACGCTGGGCCTGGCACTCAGAGCAGGCTCGTGCTTCCCTTTAACACGCCCCAAGTGTGCGGACCTGATGTGAGTGTGAGGGTCGGCTCAGAACGCTCCTGCTGGGCAGGTATCCATGCAGAAGTTCCTCCCTCCCGCCAGCGGACGGGGCTGAGTGCACTCAATCCAGAAGTGCTGCTGTTCTGGATTGCTGCTTCCTGTGAAACAAGAAGACCGAAGAATTGACGCATTCAAGGTGTGATCTTGGTGAAGAATATTGAATGTACCACAGACTGCCAGAAGAGTGAATGAACCTGTCTTGGAAGAAGTACAGCCAGAACACCCCTTAGAAGCAAGGATGGCGAGACTATGTCTCACATACTCTGGACATGTTGTCAGGAGGGACCAGTCCCTGGAGAAGGACATCATGCTTGATAAAGTAGAGGGTCAGCAAAAAAGAGGAAGGCCCTTAATGAGATGGATTGACAAGGTGGCTGCAACCAAGGGCTCAAACATACCTCCCATTGTGAGGATGGCACAGACTGGGCAACATCATCCTGTTATAAGGTCGCTATGAGTTGGAACCAACTTGACGGCACCTAACAACCACATGGGTCTCTGGTAAACGTTCCCACTTCCAGAAAAGTGTGGGCCGGAGCTCAGGGTACACAGTGCCCTCCAGGAGCAGGTGGCTGTGTGTGTCAGGGTGAATGTGTGCTTTTGGTGCTGGGTGTTCCCACCATATTAGTAGGTGCTTCTGCATCGCCAAGGAAAAGAGACGAGGCGGACGAAAGCCTGTGTCGGAAGCACAGAGGACATAGATTCGTAGGTGTGGATCCGGAGTGGGCATTCACCTCCAGGCCAGGGAGGCCGGCTGTCTGGGCAGACGTGTGGCCTCATTGTGAGAGCTCAGTGTGCAGATACTGAGTTCCCTGTCGCCAGGAGTAATCAAGGAGAGCATGCCTGCCACCTGACAAGAACGCCTTAGATGATGAAGAGGGTAGTGCCAGGAGTGGCCCACCTCCCTCGGCAGGATTTCTTTGGGGTTGACAGAGGCCCCATGACCCGGCCAGTGGCCTGGAACCCCACAGCTGGGCACACAGTGGGCCGGCACACATGGCTGAGGAGTCTGACTGAGCTGCTATTCCTGATGGCTGGGAGTTTGTGACTCAGCTTCCTCTGAGTGTGGATTGGAAAACTTGTCTGCTTATTAAGAGAACTGGCAGTATCTAAAACAGGAATCCGATCCTTGTGACGCAGATGGTTGAGCACTCAACTACTAGCCGAAAGGCTGGCAGTTCAAACCCGCCCAGAGGTGCCTGGGAAGACAGGCCTGGCGATCTGCCTCTAAAAGGTCACAGCCTTGAAAACCCTATGGCACAGTTCTGCTCTGGCACACGTGGGGTCTCCATGAGTCAGAATGGGCTTCCCTGGGAATCCTTTGGAGGGAGGGGCATTTCCTGGGCTTCCTCAAATCATACTAGGCGCAAAGGCTTATCTTGTTTCTCTACCCTGCCCCCCAAGGGGCTGAGAACAGTTCCGGGACCTATTGTGTCCTGCCATTGCTGCACCCCATGGTGGCACGGGGGAGGGGCACACAACACCGTGTGGAAATCGGATGGAGCTGGGGTGTGGAGAGGGGTCCACGAGGCAGAGGGAGCACCCGGGGAGGGGAGCTCTGGGATTCCTGGGGTGGAGGCAGCCTTGTTTCCCAGCTCTGCCCCCACTGTGGGCAAACGCAGGAGAACATGCTCCATATGGAGGCACCGTGGAGGCTTGGGCTTCCCCTCCTGCGCCATTTGTAAACGGGCTGCGTCGCCGGCATGGGCTGGGGTGCCTAGTTCTGTGCTGATGTCCATGGTGGGGGGCCCTGTCTTGGCCATTCGGCGACCCCGAGGGTGGAGGGAAGAAGGCTCCCTCACGCTCCCTGCCTCCTTGTTTGGAGACACAGTTCCACGGCGACTCCCAGGGAGGCTGTGTCTTCCCCAGGAACTGTTCCCAGGCAGTCCGCCCAAGGTCAACGGCGCCAAAGATGGCGGGGCGCGCTTCCCTTTGGCACGGAGGCCACGCTCCCCCGTCTTCTGTCGGCAGGGAAGGCAGCGGCGCTGGAAGGATGGCTTGCCCAGAAATTTGGCTCGACGAGGCTCTGTGCTTTGGGGAGGGTGTCGTTCAAGGACAGATGGAGGGAGAATGAGCATCGTCAAGCCTCCCACGCTCCCCGGGGCTCCTTAGCTTTGGTGAGCTCTCTGGGCCCACGTGGCAGGGCATGTGGCTGACCGGAACCCCGGCCTCTGGAGGGGCGCTAGCTTTGACCACTGCCTCTGTGGGGTCCCCTCCATTCGCCCAGCACTCCCCAGCGAGGGCGGGACCCCGATGGACTAGACACCTCAGTCCTGAAAGTGCCAGCGAGCTAACCCTGGAGGAAACGCCTTCCCCTCTCCCAGCAGGAGAAGAAGCAAGTGTATCCTTGTTGACAACACTGTGTGCCTGAGAGAGAGTCTTCTGGAAGCTGGCCATCTTGCCCAGAACCTCCACGGAGCGGCTTGGACCGGAGTGCAAGATGGCGTTGTCTTTGGCGATAAAACGTGTCAGCAGCAGAACCGTTTCTGAGTGCAAGTCTTTGAAGTGACTTTATCTCTCTCTGAGTTTACGACGTAGCGTGGTCCAGGGTGGTGTAAGCAGTGCGTGCCGGACTGCTAACCTAAAGGTTGGCGGTTTGAAGCCACCCAGCTGTGCTGAGGAAGAAGCTCCTGGCAGCCTGCTTCCGTGAGAATTGGTAGTTGCCTTTGAGTTGATTCCAGCTGGTGGCAACCCCATGGGTTACAAATAGAACTCTGCTCCATTGAATTTTCTTGGCTTTATAGAAACAGATCGCCAGGCCTTTCTTCCGTGGTACCACTGGTTAGGTACAAACCACCAACCTTTAGGTTAGCGGTCGAGTGCAATCTGTTGGTATCACCTTCAAACCTTCCCATAAAGATTACAGCCAAGAAAACCCTATGGAGCAGTTCTACTCAGTAACATGTGGGGTCCCCATGAGTCAGAATCAGCTCAATGACAACGGGTTTGGGTTATTTTTGTTTGTTTTATGGTCAAGGGAGAAAGTCACACAGAGCGGAGTTTAAACCTATCTGTGAGTTGTGTGATTTGGAGGGCCGCTTTCCTCATCCGTCCTCACTTGGGGCTTGTTGTGAAGGGGCGTTGGGTGAGTTCAACGAGAGATTATGCTTAAACTCTCAGCAGAGACAGGGCACACGCTCGATGAATCAGTCGTCAATCGTCATCTTCATTCTCACCAAACCGAGAGACGATTTGGCCAGGCGTCCAACCATCCTGAGCATTCCGACAAGGAAAACCTCCCAGCCCTTGTGGAAGCCAGCCTTCTCTTTCTTACTCCGCCATTTCTGTTGACACATAGTATGCCGACCATATGGAATTCCACTTAAATGTTCCTGTTGCTTTTTCCTCATCTCATCTTTTTTTTTTTTTTAATTTCGGAAGCAGTTCTCTTAGCAACCAAAAAAAAAAAAGCACAGTTTAATTACAGCCCGCGGGGCATTCAGAGACAGAACCTCGCTCCCTGAGCCGCTCCACTTAGGTTCTGGGAAGACCTTTCTCCTGGTGTAGGAGACCCATCTGCTGCAAAGGATACCAGCGTGCACCGTCTTTTTGTGTTTGCTTCACAAATGCAACTTTCTCTGTGTCCCAGCCGTAATCTTCCCTTGCTTCTCCAGACTTCTGTCAGGGTGGGAATGCTCGAGAAGCATACATAGCAGCTGTAGAGATGCTCCTTTTGATCAGAGGCATGGAATCGGGCAAGGCTGGGTGGCAGCTGAATTGCTTTCTTATTTCTATCCCTTTAAAAAAAGAGGGGGGACAAATCCTGTTTTCCCCAGTGTAATTACCATGAGGGGGGTGAGCCAGAGGAGTAATTGCTGCTTGTGTTCTGATCCTTTGCAAGGGAAATATGGGTCATGTTCGGGAATTCCAGAATGCTGGCATTGTCTGCCAGCTGAGCGTGGGTCTGGTGTGCAGCTTATCTGGTGCCTGGGTCCCTCTGGACTTCCTCACTCTCTCTGCTGGCTGACAAACAGCATTCAAGAGCACTTGACGGCTGCCGAGAATAAAATACAACTCGACACAAAAGCACACGTGCGTTATATTTAGCCAGAGGCGCGGTTAGCAGAAATGCCCCCTGCGCAGCCTGAGTTATATCGGCTGGCTGTGGCTCCAGCGCACAAATGACTTCAAGAGTTTGCTCGCTGCCCGCCCGCCGGCTGCAGGACGCGTGCTCCATCCTCGCCCTCCGCGGAGCCTCTCCCGAAATGCACGGATCACAAAGGCTCACATGACGAGCGCTGTGAGAGCGAGCAGGGCTTTCTTGCAGCTCCTCTGTAAGCACAGTTGGTTCCCAGCTGACAGACAGAATATGGGGTGGGCTTTGTCACCCGCACGCCGGGCCTGGCGTGCCCAGCTCTCCTGGAGACTGCACGGTGCCCAGACGCCCGCTGCTGTTGCTGCCAGGGTCCACGCTGCTCCGGCGCCCAGGAGCGGGGCCACGCTCCTTGCCTTCCTCCGCTCGGAGAAGGTTATATAATGAGCAGACCGCTGCCCAAGTCAGAGGGAAAATGAAGTCTTTGTTAAATGCCTTCACCAAGAAGGAAGGTAAGGAAAAAGCTGTCGGGAGCTGGAGCGGGTTGCATGGGAACCAGCAGCTTCTCACTGCTTCTCGAGGCAGAGGGGCGAGTCCAGCGCCTCCTAAAATTGCCGTTTGCTCTTCCACAGCATGTTCGGATGATCATTACTTCTGGTGCTTGGCATGGTTTTGGTTAGTCTTTGGTATTAAGGCAGTGGAAGGGGCCGTTTTATGTACGTCTGCAGCCCCTTGCAAAATTGCATTCCAAGCGTAACTCCATGGGAACTGTGCAGGCTAAGAACTAAGTCTTAGGAAAAATCAAGGAAGTTTCGAGTGTGGTCCGGCCATTACCCCGGGGGGCTGCCGAGCACTTTATGAGGAAGGCTGGGATACCTTGCTGGCCGAACGCATGGAATTGGCGGCTGCGTCCAGAACCAGTTCTCAGCTCCTCTCCGCTCTCCCTGAGGTGGCATTTGATGGGGTGGCTGGGAGCCCGAGGGTGGCAGGCTTTAAAAGTGCATATGCTTTTTGTCTTTCCTTGTGGGATTTTTATTGTGGAAAAGAAAATGTATAAATAACGCATGGAAGATGGCTAAGAAGATATCCACCCACTTGGAGTTTGCAGATTGCCTGCAAGAAGGAAACAGTCGGTGGAATATTAATCATTTTTAGACAGGAAAAGAGTTATTTTTAACCCTTTTCACAAAATCAACATTGTCATGGATGGTCCCGATTGGGTGGCTTGTCAGACAGAAAGCTCCGGTTTGTGAAACCAGAAGGCTTATGAAGATGTTACTTTAAAGGAATCAGGAGGTTACTTTCCAGCCCCAGCCCATTGTCAAGTAATCATCAAAGAAATTTCCAATTCAGTTGCACAGGAAGCTAATTTAATAGGAATCTTTGTAATTAAGCGAGATAATTTTCATTAAAATGTTCACCCTAATGTCACCCAAGTGATTCCATTTGAGAAAGTCACCTGGCCCTCAGGGAAAAGGTATTTGAAAATGTTCTAGCTGTTTGATCCCTTAATCCCCCCAAGGACCCCTCCCCACGTGCCCACTCATCATGCCTCCACTTCTAGGAAGCCCTCTTCAGCCTGTTATTCAGAAGTGTATATTACAGTCTTCATCTGTACTTATCTTCGTATATTATTCACTGAAATTCGCCTTCCGGAACTTCGATTTTTATGTTCCATGAATAGTGTGTGTCGGGGCTTATGGGTGTTAGGTTGCTTCTGCATCTGTTCTATTCTTTCATGGACTTGTCTTCCCTAATGAGTTTCTTCCAGCAATTGGTAGAGGTCCCCCACTTTCCGTTAGGGGACTAATACCTTATCCGTTATGCCAGTTGGGAAAATAGAATTTGCTGTATTGTTGGGGGGATTAGCAGCCTGGGCGTGAGTCTGCGGTCGGAATTCCAGCGGTTCCCTGTGGCGGGAGTTTCCTTGTGTTGGAGCTGGTGTTTCTTCCCGGTGCTGATGTGAGCGGGGGCCCTCGTCGAGGGAGGTGCCCCGGGGAGCCCAGGTGCTCTGGGGCTGCTTTGACCGCAGGTGTCTGCTGGAGGACTTGGCTCTGAGCTGTGATACAGTCCTTCCAGCCAATCATCTCTGTGAATGGAAGATAATGGCTCTCTAGGATTGTGGCATCAGCAGCCCTTTCCAAGGTCATCCCACCCCCTCTTTGTCAGGCAGTTCTCTGCTCTTCCAAAAGCCGCTGCCAGTTTTCAAAGCCGAAATGAGGAGCCCTTTCCCTGATTCCCCTGTGGCCTCGCTGCGGAGTCCGAGGGCCAGGCTCCCCGGAGGGCAGCTTGTGTGATCCGGAAAGAGGCGTCTGCTACGCCTGCGACTGCCTCTTCTCTCTCTTAGCCGGGCTGGTGCCGTGTGCGAACTCGTTTTTCTCTGAGAAATTCGGAGCAGGATGGAAGTCCCAGTGGAAGAGGTTTTGCTGCTTACGGGTGCGTCTTCCCCCAACAGAAAGAGCTCACTGAGGCAGCCGAATGAGAGGAGCCGATGCCTCCCAGGGAAGAATATTACCTCCCCACTGTGGCTTCCCACAGCCTGCCAGCTGTGCTTACCGGCAGTCAGAATCCAGCTGTGCTTCCTTGAGACCCACGTGTCAGGGTGGGCGGCTGCCCCATGGCTGGGCCCTTCTCTGGGGTCCCAGGCTGGCCCTGCATGGAGGGTGACAGGGACACGGGGAGTGCAGTGGGTTAGAGCTCTGCCTGTGCCACCTCTGTCCCCTGAGCTCCACCAGGGCCACCTCTGTCCCCCTGAGCTCCACCAGGGCCACTTCTGTCCCCGTGAGCTTCACCAGGGCCACCTCTGTTCCAGATGATCTCTACCAGGGCCATGTCTGTCCCCCTGAGCTCCACCAGGGCCACTGCTGTCCCAGATGATCTCTACCAGGGCCACCTCTGTCCCCCCTGAGCTCCACCAGGGCCACCTCTGTCCCAGATGATCTCTACCAGGGCCACCTCT